CTCTGTTCATTAGTTATGTTTTGAGGCTTTACAAATAAATTCCATTTTGATTTTTTATTCACATAATGAATTTTTATTCACACCAAAAAATAGAAGATTTACTGTTATGCAAATACTGTAATAATTGTATAAATATCATCACCATATTGTGAATGTATATTAGACCCACCAGCTGACATGTATTAGATGTGTGAGGTCGTTTGTTTACTCTTGAATATCGGCAAAAATTTAACATTTATGCTACTTTGAGCTCAGTTTCAAGCCATTTCCAGTGCTAAAACCAATCAAAATCATCTCTATTTCTGTAATATGTCTTCCATTCTATCAAATGAGACCAAGAAATCGCAAATACAATTATAAAAAACATACGAAAAAACACTACAAAGTCGCTGTTTTAATCAAAAAATCATGATTTGTTTTTTCTCTCATTATACACAGTGTGCTGCAGGATCTGTTTTATGTGGTGCACACATACCACATAGATGTATTCTCTCATATCTAGGCCCAAATGTACCACTCACAGTTTATCAGAGTGAGCTGAGCTCATGACGTAGATCTACGGTTTGGACTCTGAACGTAAAGCCATAGATCTACGGGACGGACCCTGAAAGGGTTAAACTTTATCCTGTAAATGAAAAACTACTTATATATAGGGTTTGCTATTATCCACAGTTTTGGGTATCCACGGTAGTACCTGGAATGTATCCCCCCTGGATACAGATGCACTACTGTAATTGAAACACATGAGCCAACACTAGGACACATTATAAAAACATCTTTCAGTCCAGAGCCTCAATCACTTCTAATATACAAGGATTAAAATTTTTTTTTTCTTTTTTTCAACAAGTCGGCCGTCTCCCACCGAGGCAGGGTGACCCAAAAAAAAGAAAGAAAATCCCCAAAAAGAAAATACTTTCATCATCATTCAACACTTTCACCACACTCACACATTATCACTGTTTTTGCAGAGGTGCTCAGAATACAACAGCTTAGAAGCATATACGTATAAAGATACACAACATATCCCTCCAAACTGCCAATATCCCAAACCCCTCCTTTAAAGTGCAGGCATTGTACTTCCCATTTCCAGGACTCAAGGATTGAAAATAACAGCATATATAATACAGGCATAAGATATTGGTAGTTTGGAGGGATATGTTGTGTATCTTTATATGTATATGCTTCTAAACTGTTGTATTCTGAGCACCTCTGCAAAAACAGTGATAATGTGCGAGTGTGGTGAAAGTGTTGAATGATGATGAAAGTATTTGCTTTTTGGGGATTTTCTTTATTTTTTGGGTCACCCTGCCTCGGTGGGAGACGGCCGACTTGTTGAAAAAAAAAAAAAAAAAATAAGATAGAGGTGTAAGAAGCAGATGAAAGTTAATTTTTTTATGAGATAGCAGTGATGGAGTTATGACGAAAGTGCTTCTTTTTTGGGGGTCACCGTGCCTTAGTGGGGAACAGCTAGTGTTAAAAAAATGACATCTTTTGTTTTTTTAACACACCAGCTGTTTTCCACTGAGGTAGGTGACCACAAAAATTAAAAAATGCTTTCATAAATCTTTCTTCTTTTTACATTTAGTAATTTATACAGGAAAAAGTTACTAGCCCGTTGCTCCCAGCATTTGTTGCCTCTTATGACATGCATGGCTGACAGAGGAAGAATTCTTGTCTACTTCCCCATGGAGATGAAAGGAAAACAAGAACAAGAACTAGTAAGAAAATAGAAGAAAACCCAGAGGGGTGTGTATATATGCTTGTACATGGATGTGAAGTGTGACCTAAGTGTAAGTAGAAGTAGCAAGATGTACCTGAAACCTTGCATGTTTCTTTCTTCTTTCAACACATCGGCTGCATCCCACTGAGGAAGGTTGGCCCAAAAGAAAAAACAAAAGTTTCTCCTTTATATTTAGTAATATATACAGGAGAAGGGGTTACTAACCCCTTGCTTCCGGCATTTTAGTCGCCTCTTACGACACGCATGGCTTACAGAGGAAGAATTCTGTTCCACTTCCCCATGGAGATAAAAGGAAATAAACAAGAACAAGAACTAGAAAGAAAATAGAAGAAAACCCAGAGGGGTGTGTATATATATGCTTGTACATGTATGTGTAGTGTGACCTAAGTGTAAGTATAAGTAGCAAGATGTACCTGAAATCTTGCATGCTTATGATACAGAAAAAAAACACCAGCAATCCTACCATCATGTAAAACAATTACAGGTTTCTGTTTCACACTCACTTGGCAGGACGGTAGTACCTCCCTGGGCGGTTGCTGTCTGCCAACCTACTACCTCCAGTTTAAATCACTTGTCAGCATCAATTACCAAGGTTAATGGTTGTAACATATCTTAGAAAGAGCTGGACTTTAATGTGAGGTGACACAGAGTAACAGCTCTTAGCCTCGAAATTTAAGTGCAAACACAGATAAATTATAAATTTACAGAATTAAAGTTACACTTGTGAAGCAATTCCAATCTTTTATTATTCTAATTAATATTTTAAGTTAACTGTTATGGTCGTAGGAGATAATGAAAGGCAGAGTAGTTAGCTGCGTTTACTCTCACCAAAGCCCGGTATAACAACAACAAACAACAACTCACAGCTATAAACACAAACAATAGATGATTGAAACATACATAATACTTAATTTTCTCAATGCTCCCAACACCTTAAATTCCTTCTTTTCTAAATTACATTATATCATCACCACAGGTTGTATCATTACAATACAAAGATGGAAATAAATGGTATAAAATACCGACACAATGGCAATATAAACACAAATGCAGTATAATGTGATCCTTTATTGACTACGTTTCGCCCACACAGTGGGCTTTTTCAAGTCACAAACAGAACTACCTGGGGTGGAAGGAACGCGAGTATTTATAGTCCGGCTGAGGTCAGGTGAAGAATGCTGCATCTGATGATGTACCGAGTGGGGTTATAGAGTCTAAAAACTTGGGTAGCTTGGAAAGGAGATTGGATAAGTTTTTAGACTCGATAACCCCACTCGGTACATCATCAGATGCAGCATTCTTCACCTGACCTCAGCCGGACTATAAATACTCGCGTTCCTTCCACCCCAGGTAGTTCTGTTTGTGACTTGAAAAAGCCCACTGTGTGGGCGAAACGTAGTCAATAAAGGATCACATTATACTGCATTTGTGTTTATATTGCCACAATACAAAGATAAGCTCATCATCCAAAACTGTTTATAAATCCAACCTCTCTGGAGGTTTATCTACTCTTCTGGAATGTCTGAGATATGGAGGGCTGGCACTGTCCTGAGGTGCAACCTCTTCTCACTGTACTGTTTTCATCATCAAACCTTCCAGGAGTGTCTTCCTGCATACTAATCTGACCCTTAAGTTTATTACCACTATTATCTATTGTGGGCAGTGCCTCTGACCATAAAGGTGCCCTGTTCCTATACTGGCCAGGAATTACCAACCCACTCCTTATAGCTTCTGGTACTGTTGGAATCAGTGTTTACTCTTCATCACTCCTAAACCTTGGCATTAGTTGATCTGTATGCCTTGTCTATATTAAATTCCTAAAACCTCTAACTTGCACCTTCTAATTCCTAATACCTCCACAATCTTCCCTTCTACCCAAGGGTCACCTTTCCCAAAATTTTTGACATACACAGCATCATCAACTTGAAATTGTTTCTCATCCCCCTATAGGCCACCAGCAGGCATGTCAGACAATGAATTGTCTTCTCTAACATGATGTCTGACAGATGCTACTGAGACTTTAAAATTCTTATTAAACATTATTTCTGCTTGTGTCTTATTAGTGGATGAATGAACAGTTTTCCTATGGTTATTTAAGAACCTACATAGTCTGGTGCTGAGAGATCCAGTTGTAAATTTATGCAAACTTTCCTTCAATGTTCTTTACTGCCGTTTCTGCCCGACCATTTGATGATGGATGGTATGGGGCTGAAGTAATATGTTCAGTACTATTCTTAACAAAGAAGGCTCCCAGTTCTTGTGATACAAAATATGCAGCATTATATGACACAACTATGTTTGGTAGCCCAAAATTACAAAAGGATTTCCTCAGCAACTCAGCAGTAACTGTGGATGTCATGGAACTAGTGACTTGTACATCTAAGAATTTTGAAAAGGAATCCACAATTACTAAAAAATATTTGCCCTCAACTGGGCCTGCATAGTCTATATGGACTCTAGACAATGGTTTCCCAGTGCTGGGCCACTTCCTAGCTTCTGCTTTCATAGCATTGATGCCATTATGGCCAACATGTAAATGCTCTAATATCTTACATCTCAATTTTATTGGCACTACCACTCTATTCCTGTACAAAAATACATCCTCATAAAGAGTCAAATTTGATTTGACTGAAGTATAGTCAGATAAGATACACTGTTCTTGCACCATTCATATTTAACATTACTGATTACTTGGGATAACACAGCATCTTTTCCAGTGTAATAAAGTTGGTAGAATTACCGACAATATGTAAAGTGATTTGAAATTGAATGGTTCAGAGAACCGACATGTTGATAAATTAGACACATGTGCAACTCTTGGGTATCTTTATTGTGGAAACGTTTCGCCACACAGTGGCTTCATCAGTTCATATAAAGGAGAATCTTGAAGAACAAGAGGAGAATGAGGTAATCAGTCCCTCAACCTTGAGTCGATGTGGTCAGTCCATCAATCTTGAATAGATGGACTGATGGATTGATGGACTGACCACATCGACTCAAGGTTGAGGGACTGATTACCTCATTCTCCTCCTGTTCTTCAAGATTCTCCTTTATATGGACTGATGAAGCCACTGGGTGGCAAAACGTTTCCTCAATAAAGATACCCAAGAGTTGCACATGTGTCTAATTTATCATCATTATGTAAAGTAAAAGGACACAAGTGCAACTAATGTGACATTTTATTGTGGCAATGTTTCACTCTCCAGGAACTTTATCAAGCCAATGTCTTGATAAAGCTCCTGGAGAGCGAAACGTTGCCACAATAAAATGTCACGTTAGTTGCACTTGTGTCCTTTTACTTTACATCTTTTCTAGTATGTTCTTTGAGGTCTTCAAATGACAAATTTTGGAAATCCAGAGAATCTACAAGTCTTACAGATTCCAGAGGTGTACCTGACTTAAACTATAATTTTCAACTGGTATTCTGCTTAATGCATCTGCAATAACATTTTCCTTGCCATCCTTGAATAACAAATCATAATTATACTGAGCTAGTAAGTAAGTAAGTAAGTAAGTAAATTTATTCAGGTATACACAATACAGTTACATAGAATTATCATACATAGCAGCATATGTGTAGAGAACCTGGGATAACCCAAAAAAGTCAGACAGAGTGACTTATTTCCAATGCTGAATTCTTGCATTTGCATTTACTGGAATATATTTCCCTTTTCCAAATAACATTAGCAATGGTTTATGATCTATTTTAGCCACAAACTTTTTCCCTAGCAAAAAATATCTGAATTATTTAACAACAAACACTAAAGCTAGACCTTCTTAATCAAGTTGAGAATAATTTTGTTCTACTGGAGAAAATTTCTTACTAGTAAAATGTACAGGTTTTTCCAGGCCATTTAGTTTCTGGAGTAACACACAACCAACACCTACAGAGGAAGCATCAACCTCATTAACAGTAGAGAGTTGTTTCAGGGCTGAAGAGTCCCTCAATTAGTGATACAAGGAGAGCCTTAAATTCTTCTTGTAACTGTTGAAGTATTGCACCATCATGGTAATAACAGCCATCATCTTCATGGCAAAGTTCTGAAATTAAAATTCATATAACAATATAAATACAACTGATGATAGCAATTTTGTCACCAATTTACTTCCTGGAATGCAGGTGGGAGAGATACATGTTTTTTTCTTATTAACACATTGGCTGTTTGCCACCAAGGCAGGGTGGCCCGAAAAAGAAAATACTTTCATCATTATTTACTCCATCACTGTCTGGCCAAAGGGGTGCTTACACTACAGTTATAAAACTGCAACATTAACACCCCTCCTTCAGAGTGCAGACACTGTACTTCCCATCTCCAGGACTTTAGTCCAGCCTGCTGGTTTCCCTGTTGCCTTGCTCACACTCCAACAGCATGTAAAGTCATAAAAACCATTTGTCTCCGTTCACTCCTACCAAATACACTCACGCATGCTTGCTGGAAGTCCAAGCCCCTTGCACACAAAACCTCCTTTATTCCCTCCCTCGAACTATTCCTAGGCCGACCCCTACCCTGCCTTCCCTCCACTACAGATTCATGCACTCTCGAAGTCATTCTATTTTGTTCCATCCTCTCTACATGTCTGAACCACCTCAATAACCCTTCCTCATCCCTGTGGATAATAGTTTTGGTAATCCCACACCTCCTACTAATTTCCAAACTACGAATTCTCAGTATTATATTCACACCACACATTGCCCTCAGACATGACATCTCCACTACCTCCAGCCTTCTCCTTGTTGCAACATTCACCACCCATGTTTCATACCCATTCAAGAGTGTTGGTAAAACTATACTCTCATACATTCCCCCCTTTGCTTCCACGGACAAAGTTCTTTGTCTCCACAGACTCCTAAGTGCACCACTCACCTTTTTTCCCCTCATCAATTCTATGATTCACCTCATCCTTCATAGACCCATCTGCTGACACGTCTACTCTCAAATATCTCAATACATTCACCTCCTCCATACTTTCTCCCTACAATCTGATATCTAATCTTTTGTCACCTATTTTTTTTTGTTATCCTCATCACCTTACTCTTTCCTATATTCACTTTTAATTTTCTTCTTTTACATACCCTACCAAATTCATCCACCAACCTCTGCAACAGTGTCATCAGCAAAAAGCAACTGTGACAACTCTCACTTTGTGTTAGATTCTTTATCTTTTAACCCCACACCTCTTGCCAACACCCGAGCATTCACTTCTCTTACAACTCCATCTATAAATATATTGAACAACCATGGTGACATCACACATCCTTGTCTAAGGCCTACTTTTACTGAGAAATAATCTCCCTCTCTCCTACATATTCTAACCTAAGCCTCACTATCCTCATAAAAACTCTTCACTGCTTTCAGTACTCTACCTCCTATTCCATACACCTGCAACATCTGCCACATTGCCCCCCCTATCCACCCTGTCATATGCCTTTTCAAATCCATAAATGCCACAAAAACCTCTTTACTCTTATCTAAATACTGTTTACCCATATGTTTCACTGTAAACACTTGGTCTACACTCCCCCTACCTTTCCTAAAATCTCCTTGTTCATCTGCTATCCTCTCTGTCTTACTCTTAATTCTTTCAATAATAACTCTACCATACACTTTACCAGGTATACTCAACAGACTTATTCCCCTATAATTTTTGCACTCTCTTTTGTCCCCTTTGCCTTTATACAAAAGAACTATGCATGCTCTCTGCCAATCCCTAGGTACCTTACCCTCTTCCATACAATTAACATTACTATCTTTATCCCATCAATCCCAGCTGCCTTACCCCCTTTCATTCTACCTACTGCCTCACGAACTTCCCCCACACTCACAACTGGCTCTTCCTCACTCCTACAAGATGTTATTCCTCCTTGTCCTATACATGAAATCACAGCTTCCCTATCTTCATCAACATTTAACAATTCCTCAAAATATTCCTTCCATCTTCCCGATACCTCTAATTCTCCATTTAATAACTCTCCTCTCCTATTTTTAACTGACAAATCCATATGTTCCCTAGGTTTCCTCAACTTATTAATCTCACTCCAAAACTTTTTCTTATTTTCAACAAAATTTGTTGATAACATCTCATCCACTCCCTCATTTGCTCTCTTTTTACAGTGCTTCACCACTCTCTTAATTAACCTCTCTTTCTCTCCATATACTCTTCCCTCCTTGCATCACTTCTTTGTACAAACCTCTCATATGCTAACTTTTTCTCCCTTACTACTTACATCATCATTCCACCAATCACTCTTCTTCTCTCCCACACTCACTTTCCTGTAACCACAAACTTCTGCTGAACACTCTAACACTACATACTTAAATCTATCCATACATCTTCGACCCCATTGCCTATACTCTCACTAGCCCATCTATCCTCCAATAGTTGTTTATATCTTACCTCAACTACCTCCACTTTTAGTTTATAAACCTTCACCTCTCTGTTACTTGCTTCTTCTTTTTTCCTTGTATCTCATCTACCTTTTACTCTCACTGTAGCTACAACTAAAAAGTAATCTGATATATCTGTGGTCCCTCTATAAACATGTACATCCTGAAGTCTACCCAACAGTCTTTTATCTACCAATATGTAGTCCAACAAACTACTCTCATTACACCCTACATCATATCTTGTATGAATATGCATATACACGAATAAAACAGTAAATCTATTCCAGTATAAATTACAGTAATGAAATGAGCTTTTTCTTGTTGAGGAAATCATTGTTCCATTCATCACAGGAGAGCATCCAGAACCAGAGGCCATTCATATTCCACAAGGTGTCTGGACAAGGAGCTTCAACCTTGGTATACAACCAGCTCCGATTTGCTCACCAGAGCTCAAGCACTTGATGCACTTAATAAGGACTCCATATATGACTCCACCAGCACTCCTGTAAAAACCATTATTTATTTCAGTTGAAGTGGAATCTTGCATACACATGGGTTGTGGATTATGTATGTATACAGTGGTACCTCGGGATACAAACAGCTCAAAACTCAAACAATTATGTAAGTGTATTTATGTAAGTGCTTTTGTAAGTACAGTGGACCCCCGGTTAACGATATTTTTTCACTCCAGAAGTATGTTCAGGTGCCAGTACTGACCGAATTTGTTCCCATAAGAAATATTGTGAAGTAGATTAGTCCATTTCAGACCCCCAAACATACACGTACAAACGCACTTACATAAATACACTTACATAATTGGTCACATTCGGAGGTAATCGTTATGCGAGGATCCACTGTATATGTTTGGGGGTCTGAAACAGATTAATCTAATTTACATTATTCCTTATGGGAACAAATTCGTTCAGTACCGGCACTTGAACAGCCTTCTGGAATGAAATAAATTCGTATCCCGAGGTACCACTGCATACATTTTTTCCCACAAACCGGCCATATCCCACCAAGGCAGGGTGATATAAAAAGTAAAACGAAACTTTCAGAAGAAGAGGTTACTAGCCCCTTGCTCCTGGCATTTTAGTCGCCGCTTACCACACACATGGTTTATTGGAGAAAGAATTCTGTTCCACTTCCCCATGGAGATAAGTGGAAATAAACAAAACATGAACTAGTATGAAAACAGAATAAAAGCTGGAGGGGTGTGTATATATATGCTTGTGGATGAATGGTTCCGAGAACTGACATGTTGATAAATTAGACACATGTGCAACTCTTGGGTATCTTTATTGAGGAAACGTTTCGCCACACAGTGGCTTCATCAGTCCATACGTAGGAGAAACTTGAAGAACAGGAGGAGAATGAGGTAATCAGTCCCTCAACCTTGAGTCGATGTGTTCAGTCCAGATTGATGGACTGAACACATCGACTCAAGGTTGAGGGACTGATTACCTCATTCTCCTCCTGTTCTTCAAGATTCTCCTTTATATGGACTGATGAAGCCACTGTGTGGCGAAACGTTTCCTCAATAAAGATACCCAAGAGTTGCACATGTGTCTAATTTATCAACATATATGCTTGTACATGCATGTGTAGTGTGACCTAAGTGTAAGTAGAAGTAGCCAAACGTACCTGAAACCTTGCATGCTTATGAGACAGAAAAAAAGACACCAACAATCCTACCATCATGTAATACAATTACAGGTTTCCACATCACACTCACCTGGTAGGATGGTAGTACCTCCCTGGGCGGTCGCTGTCTACCAACCTACTACCTAGACAATTATGTTTATTTTTTTTTTAACACTTCAGCCATCTCCCACCGAGGCACGGTGACCCCCCCCCAAAAAAAAAGAAAATCCCAAAAAGAAAAAACTTTCATCATTCAACACTTTCACCATCACCTACACATAATCACTGTCTTTGCAGAGGTGCTCAGACACGACAGCTTAGACGTCCCCCCAAACTGCCAATATCCCAAACCACTCCATTAAAGTGCAGGTACTGTACTTCCCATTTCCAGGACTCAAGTCCTGCTAACCAGTTTCCCTGAATCCCTTCACAAAATATTACCCTGCTCACACTCCAACAACTCATCATGTCCAGAAAACCACTCATCTCCATTCATTCCTATCTAACATGCTCAGGCACGTTTGCTGGAAGTCCAAGCCCCTCGCCCACAAAACCTGCTTTACCCCCTCCCTCCAACCTTTTCGGGGCCGACCCCTACTCCGCCTTCCTTTCCCTACAGATTTATACGCTCTCTAAGTCATTCTATTTTGTTCCATTCTCTCTAAATGACCAAACCACCTCAACAGCCCCTCTTCAGCCCCCTTGACTAAAACTTTTAGTAACTCCACACCTCTTCCTAATTTCCACACTATGAATTCTCTGCATAATATTTACACCACACACTGCCCTTAGACACAGCATCTACACTGCTTCCAGCTGCCTCCTCACTGCAGCATTTACAACCCAAGCCTCACACCCATATAAGTGTTGGTACCTCTATACTCTCATACATTCCCTTCTTTGCCTCATGGATGACGTTCTATGTCTCCACAGATACCTCAACGCACCACTCACTTTTTTTCCTTCATCAATTCTATGGCTGACCTCATCCTTCATAAACTCATCCCATGTTTATATCAGCAAAAAATAATGAGAAATCCTTACTTATAAGAGCTGTTTTAATCCAGTCGTAGTACAACAAATCCCTCATGTTTGCTGGATTACATACTAGTGGACCATAAATCCCAAGTTTGCATTCACCATAGCTGTCCTGTCATGGGTCATCTTCACCTTGATCCTGTGGAGTTACATGAAAATGAAAATGAAAGTGTTTATTTCCTTGCATAGCTTACAATGTGTGGTTTCCATATCATAAAATATTAATTACAAAGAAGGCCATTAGCATGCCTAGGTATTTCAGACAGATTGATCATAATTCTTAGTCTATATTGACACAAGTTATGGAGCAGTACATTTTAATATACATACATAATTAATACAAAATAATACTTTATGTGCCAAGTATGTTGTAATAGGACTACAGAAATAAATCCTAGCCATATACTGTACAACATTTGTTCAATTAAATAACTTGGGTATGGTACCATCCTGCGGATGCTACTATACAGAGGTACCTATTTACTACTTGGCCTATCATAAATTGTATCATAAATTGTACTACCTCATATTAACAATAGAGTGAATATTGACTGTATTCTACCACTGCTTAGACTTAAGTAATCTATAAGTATACAGTGGACCCCCGCTTAACGATTACCTCCCAATGCGACCAATTATGTAAGTGTATTTATGTAAGTGCATTTGTACGTGTATGTTTGGGGGTCTGAAATGGACTAATCTACTTCACAATATTCCTTATGGGAACAAATTTGGTCAGTACTGGCACCTGAACATACTTCTGGAATGAAAAAATATCGTTAACCGGGGGTCCACTGTATTAGGTTAAGTCTGCCCAAAATGCCTCGGCATGATAGTGGCTTTCTTTGCTTCAATCATACTATGATATGTAAACACACACTGTAACCTCAGAAAAGAAATAAATGTTTGATTTTTTTATTTATTTTTTATGGTGAAAAGATGTGCCCAATGTCTCCTAGTGCCTTAGGATCGAGGCCAGGAACCTTTGCCCGAAATGCCTAGCCATGCTAGGTGTTCTAGTGGCCCCCTCTGTAATTAGTATTTTATTACATGTAAACCACACAATAACCAAAATCTGTAAACCCCGCATTGTAATCCTTATAGAGAATAAGCTCTGATTTGATTTGGCTCACATCTGGAGGACCTGGCTTCAATCCCAACACTAGTGGAAACATTGGCCATGTTGAAGGAAGTTAGTATGTCTACTTAGATACAGGTACACATAAGTACAATTATCATACATACTAACCTATGTGTGAATTACCCAGGATAACCCCGCTAGGAATTTTTATTGACCTAAGAAAAGCGTTTGACACAAACTTGGCCACTATGGTATAAGAGGCCATGCGCTTGCATATTTTAAATCCTACCTTTCTAATAGGTATCAGTATGTCACCATTAAAGACACAGCCTCATCAATACGGCCACTTGATACTGGAGTTCCGCAGGGAAGTATCCTTAGACCCCTGCTCTTCCTCATTTACATCAATGATCTTCCAAACATATCCCAACACCTGAAACCCATTCTCTTTGCTGATGACACGACTTATGTCATCTCCCACCCTAATCTTGCCACCCTCAACACCATTGTTAATGAGGAGCTGCTCAAAATATCGACTTGGATGACAGCCAATAAACTTACACTTAACACTGACAAAACCTACTATATTATGTTTGGTAGCAGAGCAGGTGTTGCGCAACTTAACATTAAGATCGACAACACTCTAATTGCCAGACATAATGAGGGCAAATTGCTTGGCCTATACCTCGACAACAACCTAAATTTCAGCACCCATATCCAACACATAAAAAAAGTATCCAAAATGGTGGGGATCCTCTCCAAGATACAATATTAAGTACCGCAAACTGCCCTTCTCACACTATACCATTCACTTATATACCCATACCTCACCTATGCTATCTGTGCTTGGGGTTCAACTGCAGCAACACACCTAGATAAGATAAGATAAGATGAGATTTCGTTCGGATTTTCAACCCCAGAGGGTTAGCCACCCAGGATAACCCAAGAAAGTCAGTGCATCATCGAGGACTGTCTAACTTATTTCCATTGGGGTCCTTAATCTTGTCCCCCAGGATGCGACCCACACCAGTTGACTAGCACCCAGGTACCTATTTGCTGCTAGGTGAACAGGACAACAGGTGTAAGGAAACGTGTCGAAATGTTTCCACCCGCCGGGAATCGAACCCGGGCCCTCCATGTGTGAAGCAGGAGCTTTAGCCACCAGGCCACCGGGCCCAACAAAAAGCCGCAGTAAGAATAATCACTAAATCCCATCCCTGGCAACACCCCCCCCCCACTCTTCATAGATCTAAACTTACTCCCTGTTCAGAACATCCACACTTACTACTGTGCAATCTATATCTACAGGACCTTAAATTCCAATATTAACCTTGACCTAAAATGCTTTCTTGATAGTTGTGACAGGATCCACAGGCATAACACCAGACACAAACATCTCTATGACATTCCCCGTGTTCGACTAAACCTTTACAAAAATTCAATGTATTTCAAAGGAGCTAAAATCTGGAACACCCTACCTGAGAACTCTAGAACTGCAGACACATTCATCACTTTCAAAACTACAGTTAGAAAACATCTTATCTCCCTGACCCACCCCAACAACTAACTACATGATCACCACCTGGTGGTTCACAATTACACTCACTCACCATGATATAACCCAAAAATACTAATCTTAATCTTAAAAAATAAATCCTAACTAGCATAGATTTGCCTAGATATTCAAATAACACCTTGTATTGTGCCAAAACAAAGCATTCACAGTGTAAAATCACAATTATGATGTAGTCTCTAGCCCTAACCACATCTCCCAAGATTTAATGTTAAGAATAATCTAAGTCCTGCTCGAAATGCCTAGCATGCTAGGTGTCCAGTGGCCCCCTCTGTAATGCCAGCCATGCTAGTATCCTAGTGGCCCTCTTAATGAACCATGCTAGGTGTCTAGTGGCCCTCTGTATGCCTAGCCATGTAGTGTCTAGTGGCCCCCTTGTAATGCCTAGCATGCTAGTTCCTAGTGGTCCCCTCTGAAAATGCCTAGCATGTGGGGTTCCTAGTGCCCTCTGTAATGCCTAGCATAGCTATTTGTCCTAGTTCCTTTTTAATGCCTACCATGCTAGGTGCCCTAGTGTCCCTCTGTAATGCCTAGCCATGCTAGGTGTCCTAGTGGCCCCCTGTAATGCCTAGCCATGCTAGGTGTCCTAGTGGCCCCTCTGTAATGCCTAGCCATGCTAGGTGTCCTAGTGGTCCCCTCTGTAATGCCTAGCCATGCTAGGTGTCCTAGTGGTCCCCTCTGTAATGCCTAGCCATGCTAGGTGTCCTAGTGGTCCCCTCTGTAATACCTAGCCATGCTAGGTGTCCTAGTGGTCCCCTCTGTAATGCCTAGCCATGCTAGGTTACCTAGTGGCCCCTCTGTAATGCCTAGCCATGCTAGGTGTCCTAGTGGCCCCCTCTGTAATGCCTAGCCATGCTAGGTATCCTAGTGGCCCCCTCTGTAATGCCTAGCCATGCTAGGTGTCCTAGTGGCCCCCTCTGTAATGCCTAGCCATGCTAGGTGTCCTAGTGGTCCCCTCTGTAATGCCTAGCCATGCTAGGTGTCCTAGTGGTCCCCTCTGTAATGCCTAGCCATGCTAGGTGTCCTAGTGGTCCCCTCTGTAATACCTAGCCATGCTAGGTGTCCTAGTGGTCCCCTCTGTAATGCCTAGCCATGCTAGGTATCCTAGTGGCCCCCTCTGTAATGCCTAGCCATGCTAGGTGTCCTAGTGGCCCCCTCTGTAATGCCTAGCCATGCTAGGTATCCTAGTGGCCCCCTCTGTAATGCCTAGCCATGCTAGGTGTCCTAGTGGCCCCCTCTGTAATGCCTAGCCATGCTAGGTATCCTAGTGGTCCCCTCTGTAATTAGTATTTTATAACATGTAAACCACACAATACCCAAAACCTGTAAACCCCACATTGTAACCATTATAGAGAATAAACTTGAATTGAATTGAATTGAAAAATCAGACAAAGTGACTTATTTTCATTGGGGTCCTGAAGTAAGCTTATTCAGGTACAGGTGCACATAAATACAGTTACATAAATTATCATACATAGCAGCATATGTGTAGATGACCTAGAATAGCCAAAAAAGTCAGAGAAAGTGACTTATTTCCACTGGCGTCCTATTGCCAAAGTTCACCTAGCAGTAAGTAGGTACCTGCCCAAAATGTCTATGCATGCTAATGGCCTTCTTTGTAATTAATACTTTATAACATGTAAACCACACATTGTAAGCTCCACAAGGAAATAAACATTGTCAATTGTCAACCTGTGTTAGCAGACTGTTGTGGGTGGCATTCTGCACAAGATCATCAAAGAACAAAAATTAAAATAAGTGAATATTATGCTATCTTATGATCTCAACAGTTCCTTGGATCAAGAGGTATTCACCTCTAGATGATAAGATAAGATTTCATTTCGATTTTTAACCCCGGAGGGCTAGCCACCCAGGATAACCCAAGAAAGTCAGTGCGTCATCGAGGACTGTTTGTCTTATTTCCATTGGGGTCCTCAATCTTGTTCCCCAGGATGCGACCCAAACCAGTCGACTAACACCCAGGTACCTATTTGCTGCTAGGTGAACTGGACAACAGGTGTAAGGAAAAGCGTTGAAATGTTTCCACCCCACCGGGAATCGAACCCTGGCCCTGTGTGTGTGTGGAGCGAGAGCTTTGCCAGCCAAAAATGCAAATTGCTCACTAATAACCATAATTATATGTTGTAAGTTTATTCAGGTATAGGTATACATAAGTACAATTATCATACATAGTAATATAAGTTTAAATTACCCACCAGGGTAACCCAAAAAGTAAGACAGTGACCACTGACTGCTCCATTGCTTATTAAGTTTCTAATCAAACTCAGCAATGCCTATACTCACCTAGAAATTAATGAAACTCAAGTTTCTTCAAGATAAAGGTAGTTTGATAAGAGGTTCTCATTAAAAATGAAGGACCACAATGGAAATACGTAAGTCACTTTGACTTTTTTGGGTTATCTTGGGTAATTTACACATATATTACTATGTATGATAAGTGTACTTAACTGTACCCGTATCTAAATAAACTTACTTACTCCTAAGAAAGGCCACCAGAGCTGAGGCCTAAATAAGGCCTACTTTCTGGGAGTCCAGAAAAAATGATAAACATGGGCTGGAATTATAACGAAAAACTTTCCTTTGGAAAGAAAATTTTGGTTCCATATTAAGTCAGGTGGACAGGGACCCTGATGGAAATAAGTCACTTTGTCTGACTTTTTTTGGGGTATCATGGTGGGTAATTTACACACGTTACTATGCAAGCAGACGTCAACCAAATCTTTACATGGGCTGCAGAAAACAACATGAAGTTTGTGATGTAGTTCAGCTGGGCTTGTGAGGTCTCTGGAGAGACCTAATTTAACCAATTATATGGTCACACCTTGCTTGGCAAACGTCTGTAGCCACGCCCATGTCTGAGGTCTTTTCTTCTTGACGGCGTCAAATCCAGGCGTCAGGTCGTACACGTGGTTGTGGAGGGTGCTTGGACCACCATAAAAGCCCAAGGAAGAGCTGAGTAGGGAGATTCGGGCAGAGCTCTGGCCTGGGAGTAGAGCTGAGCTGGAGAGTCTCGGGAGGAGAGACTGTTGGAGATTCGAGCGGAGCTCTGGCCTGTGAGCAGAGCTGAGCTGGAGAGTCTTGGGAGGAGAGACTGTTGGAGGCAGTGGGCAGAGTACTGGCTTGGAGCAGTACTCGTGCTGTGTAGGTCTTGGGACCTGTGGCTTAGTTCCTGTAGTGAACTGTCCTCTGTACTATATTGTAAGTTATATTCATTTTCGTCAAGTTGATTGTGTTCCCTGTCTCACTGCTTATGTGTACCACCCCATTTATCTAAACCCCGATGATGTACTCCTGTTCCCAAATATATTATTGTACAAGGACTTAATAATAAAACTGTGTTTGAGTAGAATAGTAATATTCACTGTCCCCGTTATTTATTCTTATTTCCATTTATTTACGTTTAGTTAAAGTAGTGAGAGGGTGAGTAGTGTGGAGTGGTGGGTAGAGTAATGAGAGGTGAAGTTGTAGTCACCAGTGACCTTACATTATCTACCAACCTCCGCTAATCATCTCTCCTACCACTTCGCCTGCCTGTCCCCTGCCTACTGACTCCCTCCTCTTACCCCCATATTCCCCTAATCATTACCCCCCTACATGACAAGTTCAATGAAGAGAAATTTTAGCTACTCAGATGTGGAAAACTTGAGGAAATTAAAACTTTATCAGAGTGTATAAAACAAATTCTAACCACACAATAGAGTGAAAAACTAATGTGAAAGCTCTGGAAGTGATAATGTCAGAGGATTTCACCTTCAAAGACCACGACAATGTATCTACCTCATCTGCTAGAAAAATATAATGAGAACCTTCAAAACTAGGGATGCAAAGCCCATGATGATTCTCTTTAAATTGCTTGTTCTCTCTAGGCTGGAATATTGCTGTACACAAGTGCATAAAAAAATATTAAACTAAAACACTAACGGCCCCCATCAAGGCTGGTGAAATTGTTGACCTGGAGAATATACAGAGAACTTTCATAGCACGTCTAAGTACACAAAGCAACTAAATTACTGGCAACGGTTGAAATCCCCTGGATTTGTATTCCCTGGAACACAGGCGAGAAAGATACATGATAATATATACTTGGAAAATCCTAGAGGGATTAGTACCAAACTTGCACATGAAAATCACTCCCTATGAAACCAAAAGACTCGGCAGGAGATGCAACAGTCCTTCAGTGAGAAGCAGGGGCGCCACGAGTACACTGAGAGACAACACGATAAGTGTCAGGGGCCCAAGACTGTTCAACTGCCTCCCAGCATACATAAAGGGGATTACAAATAGACTCCTGGCTGTTTTCAAGAAAGCACTGGACAGACACCTGAAGTAAGTATTTGATCAGCTGGGCTGTGGTTTGTACATAGGTTTATGTGCAGCCAGCAGTAACAGTCTGGTTCATCAGGCCCTGATCCACCATGAGGCCTGGTCTCAGACAGGGCCATGGGGGTGTTGACCCCTGAAACCTTCTCCAGGTAAACTCCAGGTATGTGTAACATTTTGTGTAACTGTATCTATGTGTACCTGTACCTCAATAAATTAAATCATATAACTCATAGATGGAGCTTTTGGAAAGTAAGTTTATTCAGGCATACATAAATTCAGTTACATAGATTATCATACATAGCAGTATATGTGTAGACAGCCTGGGATAACCAAAAAAGTCAGATAAAGTGACTTACGTATTTCCACCGAGGTCCTCTTGACATCTGACCAAGACCTTCCACTGGCTTACCAGTACTAACACCTGCAGAGCCAGAATCAGCAACTCTGCATTAACACCAGTGCTAAAGCCCCTCAAAAAAAAAAAGAGCGAAATCTCTCATACTGTTGTTTTTGTTTTTATATAAATCACCGACAGCTTGAGCAAATCTGAAAAGGAAAAAAAGAGGGATATTTGTCTGAGAAATAAAATACTTGTTTATAAATTAATAAATTTATTTAGAACATTTTAAACTTCAATAAAATCTTATTGAATTTACTCTATTTTGACTTTTATTTGACTCATTTTCTCATGAACATAAAACTAAACAAAGTTTAATATTTTAACACAAAGTACAAATAAAAAATTAATACTTATTCCACTGAAAAAAAATTCTCTTCCTCTTCTAATTAACATTTTTGTTTCCATTTTTATTTTGCCTTTCTGCCTTATTCTCATTCCTTCTGATTCTTTCTGGGTCTTCCATTTTTTCACAGCTCCTGTATTTTCTTAGTTCTCACTTCATCTGCTTTCTAATCTTTCATTATCTTACCTTATTGCTTTTCCATTTTCCTCTTATCATCCCTGTTTTTTCTGTCCTCTATTTAGCTATTCTTGCCTCTTTTCAAAAGATATACTGAATATTTGTGATAATATTGCAATCTACAAGGGTCACAGCCTACAAAGATCATACATAAGGACAAAGAATGAAATTTAGTGTAGGTTGTTGTGATAGATTATTATTATAATCAAGGGGGAAGCACTAAACCCGGAGGATTATACAGCGCCTGGGGGGGGATGTAGAAGGCATTCAGGCTTAATTCGGGGAACTGGAGCACAGATCCAATTCCCTAAATCAAGAGCCCCTCACCAACATCAAGGAACCTTCCTTGAGGGGGTAAGGGGTGTTGTGATAGAAACACAGGCCTTATCTCTAGGCTTTATTGAACATAGAATCTTCATAGTACTTCTGCAACAACAAAATATAATGACTAGTACATCTAATAATGGCTTCTACAGGGATGGTGATGTCTTGCATATGTCAAGAGAAAAGTTATAACTACAGGCCACATATTTAAACTCACCATGTAATCTGCATCACTAATATAGGGATAGTAGAAGAGAAGAGAATCACACACCATGTGTTGGCACCCATGACACACACCAAACTGTTGTTGTTGTTGTTGTTAAGGGCCCCGAGAGGTGGTGCAGTATTATCCTGCTGCTGCTCCCCACAGGAGAAGTATCACTACATAGGGATCACATACTGACAGGGTGAGGTCTACATACATACTGTACAGTCCATGAGGGTCACATACTCTGTGGGAACCTACAAGGATCATACACATACTGTAGATCCCATAAGGATCACATACAATGGAATCCACAAGGGTCATAAATTTTGTAGGAATCTACAAGGGTCACACACATACTGTAGATCCCACAAGGATCACATACAATGGAATCCATGAGGGTCTCATTCTGTAGGAACCTACAGGGATCATACACATACTGTAAATCCCACAAGGTAACCCTCATGTGTTCTACGACAAAGTGCTAAACCCACACACACACACCCTTGAAGGGACCTCACACTCAAAAGTCCTACCAAAGCCTATTACTATTATATTCACAGGTAAGCGCTAAACTTGTAAGAGGTCATACACCACTTAGGTAATGACGAGGCAACAAGTCAGTTACAGAAGAGACTCCAATAACTCGAATCAAGAACACTTCAAAGGCATCAACCCACAATTCTTGAAAGATTCCTGAAGCCTAAGTGAAACCAGGCTACCAAACAAACATATATTTTTAAAGTCATATATTTATTACTGACAAAACATTTTAAGCTTATATTTAGAGTACAATAATACACAACCACACACACATAACACACAAATATATATATATATATATATAATATATATATATATATATATTATATATATATATATATATTATTTATAAACAACACTGATCTCTGGCTGAAGTAACTCGAACCTACGAACCTTAGGACAAGGTAACGCAGTGCTTTACCAATCTACCCACACTGGACATACCTTGGCGTGTAGCATTGCACTGTTGATCCAAGGCAGCCACTTTCAGGGAGAAGGCTTAACAGCTTTTCATCTCAATCCCCTGCATGCGTCAGCCCTTACTAGAGATTTTAACAATGCAAGGAATTCGCGAGAGCAGGCAAATATACACAAACATACATACATACATACATACATAATACCTACTAAACATCACTATAAATATATATAATATATGATATATATCATATATATTATAATTATATAGTTCCTTGATAATGTGAGTAGTCACGAAAGCGCTTGGAATTTCTCTATTCTTTCAGAGTGGTTTGTTTTGCATATACTATTAATATATATATATATACATATCATATACTATATATTTATATATATCATATATATATATATATATCATATATATATAATACTATATAATATATATAATATATATATATATATAATATATATTATAATAATATATATAATATATATATATATAATATATATATATAAGATTAATAAATATAAAATAAACACTATTGGAGGATAGATGGCTAATGAGAGCATAGGCATGGGGTCGAAGAGGTATGGGGTAGTTTAAAAATGTAGTGTTGAGTTTCAGCACAACAGCTTGTGTAGTACAGGAAAGTGGGTGCAGAGGGAAGAGGACGATTGGTGGAATGATGATTAAAGAGAGTAGTAAGGAGAAAAAGTTAGCATATCGAGAAGTTTTTACAAAGTAGAAGTGATGCAAGAGGGAAGAGTATATGAGCAAAAAGAGAGAGGTTTAAAGAGTGGTGAAGCAATGTAAAAAGAGAGCAAAGAGAGGTGGGTAGATGTTATCAACAATTTTGTTGAAAATTAAAAAAAGTTTTGGAGTGAGATTAACAAGTTAAGAAAGCCTAGAGAACAAATGGATTTGTCAGTTAAAAATAGGAGAGGAGAGTTATTAAATGGAGAGTTAGAGGTATTGGGAAGATGGAGGGAATATTTTGAGAATTGTTAAATGTTGATGAAGATAGGGAAGCTGTGATTTCGTGTATAGGGCAAGGAGGAATAACATCTTGTAGGATGAGGAAAGCCAGTTGTGAGTGTGGGGGAAGTTCGTGAGGCAGTAGGTAAAATGAAAGGGGGTAAGGCAGCCGGGATTGAGGGGATAAAGATAGAAATGTTAAAAGCAGGTGGGGATATAGTTTTGGAGTGGTTGGTGCAATTATTTAATAAATTTTATGGAAGAGGGTAAGGTACCTGGGGATTGGCAGAGAGCATGCATAGTTCCTTTGTATAAAGGCAAAGGGGATAAAAGAAGTGCAAAAATTATGGGGGGATAAGTCTGTTGAGTGTATTTGGTAAGTGTATGGTAGAGTTATAATTGAAAGAATTAAGAGTAAGACGGAGAATAGGATAGCAGATGAACAAGGAGGCTTTAGGAAAGGTAGGGGGTGTGGGACCAGGTGTTTACAGTGAAACATATAAGTGAACAGTATTTAGATAAGGCTAAAGAGGTCTTTTTGGCATTTATGGATTTGGAAAAGGCGTATGACAGGGTGGATAGGGGGCAATGTGGCAGATGTTGCAAGTGTATGGTGTAGGAGGTAGGTTACTGAAAGCAGTGAAGAGTTTTTACGAGGATAGTGAGGCTCAAGTTAGAGTATGTAGGAAAGAGGAAATTTTTTCCCAGTAAAATTAGGCCTTAGACAAGGATGTGTGATGTCACCGTGGTTGTTTAATATATTTATAGATGGGGTTGTAAGAGAAGTAAATGCGAGGTCTTGGCAAGAGGCGTGGAGTTAAAAGATAAAGAATCACACACAAAGTGGGAGTTGTCACAGCTGCTCTTTGCTGATGACACTGTGCTCTTGGGAGATTCTGAAGAGAAGCTGCAGAGATTGGTGTATGAATTTGGTAGGGTGTGCAAAGAAGAAAATTAAAGGTGAATACAGGAAAGAGTAAGGTTATGAGGATAACAAAAAGATTAGGTGATGAAAGATTGAATATCAGATTGGAGGGAGAGAGTATGGAGGAGGTGAACGTATTCAGATATTTGGGAGTGGACGTGTCAGCGGATGGGTCTATGAAAGATGAGGTGAATCATAGAATTGATGAGGAAAAAGAGTGATGGTGCACTTAGGAGTCTGTGGAGACAAAGAACTTTGTCCTTGGAGGCAAAGAGGGGAATGTATGAGAGTATAGTTTTTACCAACGCTCTTATATGGGTGTGAAGCGTGGGGGATGAATGTTGCAGCAAGGAGAAGGCTGGAGGCAGTGGAGATGTCATGTCTGAGGGCAATGTGTGGTGTGAATATAATGCAGAGAATTCGTAGTTTGGAAGTTAGGAGGAGGTGCAGGATTACCAAAACTGTTGTCCAGAGGGCTGAGGAAGGGTTGTTGAGGTGGTTCGGACAGTAGAGAGAATGGAGCGAAACAGAATGACTTCAAGAGTGTATCAGTCTGTAGTGGAAGGAAGGCGGGGTAGGGTCGGCCTAGAAGGGTGGAGGGAGGGGGTAAAGGAGGTTTTGTGTGCGAGGGGCTTGGACTTCCAGCAGGCATGCGTGAGCGTGTTTGATAGGAGTGAATGGAGACAAATGGTTTTTAATACTTGACGTGCTGGTTGGAGTGTGAGCAAAGTAACATTTATGAAGGGATTCAGGGAAACCGGCAGGCCGGACTTGAGTCCTGGAGATGGGAAGTACAGTGCCTGCACTCTGAAGGAGGGTGTTTAATGTTGCAGTTTAAAAACTGTAGTGTAAAGCACCCTTCTGGCAAGACAGTGATGGAGTGAATGATGGTGAAAGTTTTTCTTTTTCGGGCCACCCTGCCTTGGTGGGAATCGGCCAGTGTGATAATAAAAAAAAAAAAAATAATAAATAATATATATATATACAGTGGACCCCCGGTTAAAAGATATTTTTTCACTCCAGAAGTATGTTCAGGTGCCAGTACTGACCGAATTTGTTCCCATAAGGAATACTGTGAAGTAGATTAGTCCATTTCTGACCCCCAAACATACACGTACAAACGCACTTACATAATTACACTTACATAATTGGTCGCATTCGGAGGTAATCGTTATGCGGGGGTCCACTGTTATATATATATAAAATATATATAATATATATATAATATAATATATATATAAAATATATATATATATATTTCAACAAGTTGGCCGTCTCCCACCGAGGCAGGGTGACCCAAAAAAGAAAGAAAATCCCCAAAAAGAAAATGCTTTCATCATCATTCAACACTTTCACCACACTCACACATAATCACTGTTTTTGCAGAGGTGCTCAGAATACAACAGTTTAGAAGCATATACGTATAAAGATACACAACATATCCCTCCAAACTGCCAATATCCCAAACCCCTCCTTTAAAGTGCAGGCATTGTACTTCCCATTTCCAGGACTCTAGTCCGACTATATGAAAATAACCGGTTTCCCTGAATCCCTTCACTAAATATTACCCTGCTCACACTCCAACAGATCATCAGGTCCCAAGTACCATTCGTCTCCATTCACTCCTATCTAACACGCTCACGCACGCTTGCTGGAAGTCCAAGCCCCTTGCCCACAAAACCTCCTTTACCCCCTCTCTCCAACCCTTTCGAGGACGACCCCTACCTCGCCTTCCTTCCCCTATAGATTTATATACTTTCCATGTCATTCTTTGATCCATTCTCTCTAAATGACCAAACCACCTCAACAACCCCTCTTCTGCCCTCTGACTAATACTTTTATTAACTCCACAACCTTTTCCTAATTTCCACACTCCGAATTTTCTGCATAATATTTACACCACACATTGCCCTTAGACAGGATATCTCCACTGCCTCCAACCGTCTCCTCGCTGCTGCATTTACCACCCAAGCTTCACACCCATATAAGAGTGTTGGTACTACTATACTTTCATACATTCCCTTCTTTGCCTCCATAGATAACGTTTTTTGACTCTACATATACCTCAATGCACCACTCACCTTTTTTCCCTCATCAATTCTATGATTAACCTCATCCTTCATAAATCCATCCACTGACACGTCAACTCCCAAGTATCCGAAAACATTTACTTCTTCCATACTCCTCCTCAACAATTTGATATCCAATTTTTCTTTATCTAAATCATTTGATACCCTCATC